AAGAATTATCCTTAATTTTTAAATATATGTAACCCATTCTCAGTGCAGTCACCTTGCTTTTATAATTCTTCAAACATACACCTCTTACTTCCTGTTAATAAAGCAGGCAGAAACATACTCTGAAATACAGGTTTAATTTCCACCCTACTCACGACAGTTCCTGCAGCTTTTTATCTGTCACTAGTGATAAAATCCCAGTCCAAAAGGTTTTTGCCTGACAGCAGATATACCCAGGAGTGGGATGCAACCAGTTCGGCCCAGTTCTATAGAACCTGTAGCTACAAAGAGCAGCTGACATCGAACTGGTTCGGTGTTTGGCCCACCCGTCTGCCCGGGCTCTAGGCTGCTCTTTATTCCCTGCTTTTCCCTCCTCACCTGCTTTGCGCAGCACAGCTGAGGTTGAAAAAGCAGGAAACGAGGATTTTCAAACGTTGCACACCTGAGCGCAGCACTTGTCACCTGTCCAGGCACCACAACTGATGATTTCTTGCAAACACTGCACACATGATTGTCCCCAGTTCAGAGAACTGGCAAATCACTCCACTGGCTGGCCCCTCCCCTCCCCGCCCACTCACTCCTTACCTGGCATGCGAGTCATCCAACTTGCCTGGTTTGGTAAGTTGCCACTTTTCCTTTTTTCGCCCCAGACCATCAGCTGTTCTGCTCTGCCAGATTTAGATTAGCTAGAAAGCAGGAAATCCTTGGATTTCTTGCTTTCTAGCTAATCTAAAAGCAGAGCTGAACCTTCCTTAGGACTGAAGCTTTTCATGCAGACTTAGGTAGCCGATTGCAGATAGATAGATTTCTAAGTGAATCTGTGATTCTGTGAGCAACTCAATCTGCTTGAATCCCACCCCTGGATATACCATATTTGCAGAGGCAGGTTCTTTATTAACAACTCTGTTAAATGAATATTGTACAGATATGTAGAATTCATCCAAGATACCCAAATAAGTGGCCAACATACATTCATGAGGAACAAAAGAAACAAACCTACTGAAGGTAAGGACAATACCACAAATGCCATTTTATCCCAAGACAAATCCTAGGATCTTTACTGTAGAAACTAATTTCAAGCCAACATGCTTCTCTGTGTGTCCTGCTAACTCAGAGGCACTTGCAGTGTAGTAATCACTAGTAGGTGCTAAGAGTTTGCTAACAAGCCATTCATCATGATAGTTACTTTTATTGGTAGGGGAAAAGAGAAATAGGAAGCTAATTGTGTCAAAAAGACTATTTGAATTTGCTAAGAACTTTCTTATAAAGTTGACTAGCTCAAAGTTGGCTCAGCCTTCCATCCTTCCAAGGTGGGTAAAATGAGGACCCAGATTG